AAATTAGTTAAATGAGTCTTATATTAAGGATTGGAGGAGTATTTAATAATGGAGTATAGCTTTTAAAACAATTATTCTAGAGAGGTATTTCATCTTATATCCGTATAGTAAGTTTCTTTTACCAATAAGCGGAATAAATTTTAAAACAGCATCTCTTATAAATCATTATATATACTCTAATATTACAAAGTCTGTAAATCCTTAATAATATAGGATGTTGTATAGGTTATGAAACTCACGAATTTAAATAAACTGATGATGAAAGGATCAATTTATAATAAAACTAGTAACACAAAATCCTAAGAATTTATCTTTTGTCAAAAAAAAATAATTTGAAAATACTCCTCCGGTCTTTATTATAAGACCCAATTTGACTTTTTATTTGGTCCTAATTATAAGACCCAATCCATTTTGTCTCTTATATTTATGCATTTTTTTCCAAGATAATCCTTCTAATAATGATAGTTTTAGCCAATATACTTAATTAGCAAGGATATTTTAGGAATGACAACACTTATTTATTATAAATAACCAATTTAACTTACTTTCTTAATCTCTTCAAATAAGTCAATTGGATCTTATAGTTAGGACCGGAGGAGTATTATCATACTGCCAAATATTAAATACTACCGTACATAGCAATAAGTTAAACAATCAGTATATAATTAGTTAATTATTCAAAGATATAAATAAATATTTTATTATTGATCCAACAGACATCTAACAAAAAGATTTAAAAATTACAAATAAAGTACTTGAACAAATTGTTTTAAAATAAAAAGTTTAAAGCCACCACATACACGTGGCATACACTACGTCACACTACGTATGCTATGATTAAGACCATTGTCCAGTAAAATGATAAGACCATCCGTATAATCGAAAACAGTCTTCATATGAGATGCTTCACTTATTTCAACTCATATCTGAGAACGCAAAAACGAAACAACATAAAGTTGAACAAATTTTTTATTTTATACAACATAAATATACATGCCAGCAAATATATCTACCCTAGGTGGCAACTTACAATTGATTTTATATAAAATTCAATAGTTATCTCTAGCCCAAATAAAAAAAGACTAAAAATATTCGACATAAACAGCTAAAAGAAAATTAAAATTAAGGATGAACACATTGAAAGTAAGATTCATAATTTGAAGAATATTTAAATTAAATGAATATACATATATGTATGTGGTAGTTTTTTTGCATATACGTGCATAAAACATACCCGAAGATGGAAGAGGCCGTTTATGGATTGAAGGCAACACTATCAATATTTCTCACAGCCTCCTTTTTTAACAAAAATCTCTCTCTCTCTCTCTCTGCGCACCCTTTGATCCTAGTCTGACTCGATGTCAATACTTATATAAACAAACCTTTTTGAAAAACCGATAAGGGTGAGGATTCCATCATAATTACTATAAGACCTACAATTTAGGGAAATTCAATCTGAATTTGAAAAAGTAAAAGATTTTTCATATGAAAATAATATTTTGATAATTTAATTATATTAAAAATAAAACTTTAATTATATTTTTTTATCTGAAAAATAAATAAACCATACAAAAATATTATGGACCGTATCAATTTGTTACTATCTAATTATTTACAATCCATTATTCTGTTTAATAATATCTGATATAATTATATATATTTTTATTAAATAGGTGTAGATTTTGGGATATATCTAATTAAATTTATAAATATTTTATATCTATTTAATTATATATTTTATATATTTCCTTTTCTCTAGTCAATTATATGATAAAAAGAAATCTTGCTATAAACTTTTACTCATATCCTAAAAATTTTTCCATACTCTCATTCTCTCTTGTGGGGTTTGAGTTTCTTAACACTTGTGTATTGAATAACAATTATATTCGTCATCCATATTTGTTATGTATTTTTTTTTTTCCATCGCAAAGCTCTTTTCTTGTTCTTTCCATTGTGTTGAGCTCTAGTAGGTTATTTATGGTCTACTTGTTTTCCTGATTCCCTGAAGTTTTATAAGTGTAGCTTCAAAGTTGAATGCATTTTTTTAAAGACTATATTATAAATTTATTCGACGTGATTGTTGATAGAGCATAATAGTATCGTGCGATTCATGTAGTTGTTCCACTTAGTAGAATAAGGCTTATTGTTGTTGTATTATAAATTTATTCAATTTGATTTGCTTAAACAGGGATTCAAGATTTTTACATAACTTTTATAGAATGGTGAATTTTGGAATCACTGTAATTCAAATTTTTTTTTTTATGTAATTCAATGTTTTATTTCATGATTTTGATAAACACTGCGTCTTCCTCTTAAGCATCGTGTTATTTTTAGTGTATATCTAGGTCCTATGCCGCCATTGAACGAAGATCTCATCTCTGCATTTTTCGATATGTGTGTTGCTTGATTGTTTCGGATATAATTCTTCTTTATTTCATATACTTTCTTTCCACATATATATATAAATATATATTTATCTGGTTTTTACTCCCTTATCTTTTTTGATTCAGATTTTTCTTGCCTTTTAAACAGTATCTTTCATTTGGGTTGTTGAAGATATAAAAATTTCCATGATGATATTGATAACTACCTTTATTTTCGTAGACGATTTTAGTATTGGATTTAATTCTTTCAATCCATAATAATAATGGATTTCAATGGCTAGTGAAATGGAGGATTGGTATCTGATCAGCCATCTAGGCGAGGAAGAAGAAACGTTCCGAAAAGGGAGGGGCTTTTTGATTTTTGGTTGAGGGGCAAGAGGGCGATTTCATAAATTTTATTTTTTATTGGAAAAGATAAATAGTAACTCTGGTACATGTGAACTAGCTTAATATTCAAATTGGTCCTGAATATAAAACTTCAATCTACTTTATCTATCATATTTATCCTTTTTTTAACAAAATAGTCCTTATATAATTGCATATGTTAAAGATTTTATCAATTGATAGTTCTAACTAATACACATGATTAATAAGAGTATTTTACAGAAAATAACACCTATTTATTATAAATAACTAAATTAACTTTTTTTTTTAATCTGTTCAACTTAACCGAGTAATTTTTATATTAAGGACGGGAGGTAATATCATTCTACCGTGTTTTCTTTATATGATAACAAACAGGTCATCGGATCAAAATTGCATTACACCGCAGGACATTACAAAAGTGGGCTGCAATTAAACTAAATGGGCCCTAAATTGTAGACAAGACACTCTTAAACAATAACTAATGTATTCGCCCAAAAAGAAAATAATAACCAATGTGGAGATGAGGAACATTAATTTAATTATTTAGAAGAAAATTGTGTGGGTTTTCTAAAATATCTTAAATTGAAATTTTAGTTTTGTTTTAGTTTGAAGTTGTAATTTACTAATTATCATTTCTTTTTTTTTTTCTGATCAAATACTAATTATCATTTCAATTTGTAGAAGCTCAATATTTATATACCTTTCGTCTTCTTTTTTGTTAAACCGAAAATACATTGAAGCAAATATAATATCTAAGATAATTTTTTAACCTAAAACTCACGACACAAAGATTCCTTTCAATTAGGTATATATTACATCTCTGGTCTGATTTATAAGGTACTTGCAGCATATTTCACGCAGATTAAGTAAAACCTTAAACTTCATTAACTCTCATTTAAAATTTAATAACTTTCTAACTTTATACCTATTTAATATAGATTACCCCTCATGTAAACAAAATTAACACAATAATAAATGAGGGATAAAATTGTACATCCATACAAAAAATTTCTCTCAATGCTTTATAAATAGGATAAAAAAATGTCTTCTTTCTCTATCCTATAAATAGGACTAGAGGAGTACCTTCGTTTCAATTTAGGAATATTTTCATTAAATAATCACCAATTATAAGATCATTTATTAAATTAACAGTTTCTATTGAACTCTTTTTGCGCGTTAGAATGGAAGAAAAGGTATTATTGTAGTGATGCAATTAATGATACCCTAACCAGTAACCACCTCAATGGTATTTTAAAAAAAAAATAAAGAAGTTGATCATTTGGTCCGCATAATTTTTTATTATTATTATTTTAAAACCCCTGCCCTATAGGTTTGAATATGGAATCCAGAGACACTGAAGCATAAATTTAAACTCCACGGCTGAAAAAGAGAATATAGAAAAAAGGTATGAAAATGTCATTACAATTTTCTAAAATTTCTTTTCTTTAAACGTTTCTAAAAGATTTTTTGTTATCAGGTTGTTAGGATGTTTTCATGCATGGGACATTTTGCTGAAATTTTTGTACAACTTGTTTGAACTGCAAATTAGATCTTATGTTAAGGATAGAAGAAAATATAATTTATTATATGCCTAAATTATACATCTAGTTCTTTAATTTTATATAAGATTTTAGTTTGGCTCCTCAATGTCAAAAAAGTACTCTTTTGATCCTAAATATAAGACCCTTATACACACTGTACAAGGGTCTTATATTTAGAATCAGAGGAGTACATTTTTTGGGTCTTTTAACTATAAAATTATTAATCCTAAAAGATATTATTTTATAACGAGCATGGTTATTTTAAAAATTAAATTTAATATATATTAGTATTTGTGAATGTTGTATCAGCATTTAAGATCTCAATATAATTATTTTTTTTGTTACCGATTTTATGATTAAAAGACTAAAATATGTTTTTTAAAGTTAAGTTATCAAATTGAAGCTCCATATAGAGTTAAAGTACTAAAAGTATACCTCAATCTTTATTAAAACTAGTAACAGATAAAGAACAATCATCGTTAGGATTTTGTTATATATGTTGCACCAAATAAAGAAGTAAACAAGAGTCTTAACTTCTCTAAACACAAATAATTAAAGGCTGGAAAAATAGAAAATAAAACTAATGGAGTAAAATCAACTTTATAAGAGCAGGAAAGAATATTAGAGATGAGAAATTGAGGAGATTACTTTTCATAGGCTTTGAATTAGATACATAAAAATATGGGAAAATTACTGTAGAGTCCCACAGAAGACAATTTACTACCAGAAGGTCCCATGAAATCCCCAAATTCCTCATAAGTCCCCAGGGACCTCTGGGTAAATAATTTGAGTTGTGATATTACGTACTTGCCCTCAGTCATTGATAAAGGAAAGAAAAGAGGGAGAGACGCTGATTGGCTTCATTTAGTGCGGTTGTTTGTTATGCATGCACAAGGAAGAGAAGCTTCTGAAAGAAAGAAGGGAGTTATGCGCTGGTACTCCATCGCAGGCAAGCGACATTATTTCTTCATCTTCTTGGTACATCTCATCATTAACAACATTTCTCTTCTTCTGTACACAACCAATGTCAAGTTTAATGTTGGTCTGAAAAGTTGATTGTGTGTTGATATATGGGTATTAAAGATGTGATTCAACTCACTAGAAATATTAAGGGAGGCTCATTTTAGTCATATGTGGTTTTAATCATGTTAGGTGTGGTTTTACTATGTGTGGCTAGGGTTAGAAAGCATGCTCTGTTTTTCGGTGAATGCTCTGTTTTTCGGTCACTGATGCTGTGTTGCTGATGAAGATGAGTGGAAAATAACAGATATTTATTATTGTAACCCCTCAAATGCGATGGTTAAATGTGTTGTTAATGGGTACATCGAAGGTTGTTAACATAACTGTATGACTTGTTATTAACAACCAGTCGCAGCTTTAATGCTGGTCTGAAAAGTTGATTGGGTGTTTATACGTTGGTATTAAGCATGTGATTCAGCTCTCTAGAAATATCAAGGGAGGCTCATTTTAGTCATATGTGGTTTTAATCATGTTAGGTGTGGTTTTACTATGTGTGGCTATGGTTAGAAAGCAATGCTCTATTTTTCGGTGAATGATGCTCTGTTTTTTGGGCAATGATGCTGTGTTGCTGATGGAAATGAGTGGAAAATGACAGATATTTATTATTGTAACCCCTTAAATGCGATGGTTAAATGTGTTGTTAATGGGTACATCGAAGGTTGTTAACATAACTGTATGAGTTGTTATTAACAAGTGATTGTGGCAGGTTGATATCCAGGATGGCAACTTCCAGTGCAAAGCAATTGTTTTGCTACCTCCATATAGGAGGACAATTTATTAATGGTGTAGAAGGTGAAACGCAGTATGTTGGAGGTGGTGTGAGAACAAGAATGATAAAGGAAGGGACATCATATGGAGAATTTAGAACAATGGTGGCATCAATTGTGGGAAAAGAAAGTAATGGAATGGTTATGAAATTCACAGTAACCTTTGATGAGTGTACATTTGTGGACCTTGTAGATGATGAAGGAGTAGAACATTTGATTAACTTCAATGGCGATAGTGGTCATGTATATATAGGAGAAAATGGAGATCAAAATTCACAACTAACAAGGGATGTTGTAATAGAAGAGCAACATGTGTAAGTTGTGTTATTTAAATTTCGAAGTAATATTAGCTATTGTCAACTGTTGTGCATAAGTTGTTATTATAGTGATCGAAGGTTGTCATTAACGACCCCTTGACCTGTTCTGTTATGTAGGATGGAAGACTTGTTCGGAGGTTCAGATACATTGTCCATGTCTCCACCTAATGTGGTTAGTGAAGACCCACTATTGTTGCCATGTGGTTCAGAAATGATGCCAACCCCAATTCCGGAAATGAATTCAACAAAGTGGAAGGGTTTGCTTATCGGAGAAGGACAGATTTTTCCTAATGCAGTGGCTCTTAGGCAAGCACTGTATAGGTACAGTATTGCTGTGAAGTTTTCATACAAGTTTGTGAAGAACAATCAACAAAAGATCATTGTGAAGTGTATGGCGAAGGGATGCCCGTGGTATATGGGTGCATACTCAATGGGACAAAGACAAGATTCTGAGTTGTTAATAATTAGAACCTTAAGAAGTGAGCATGTGCATTATGCACAGGACAGCTTGGTTGTATCTCACTCTAGAGGGTCAAACTTAACATCATCAATCATGATAGATTCTTTGAGGTGTAATATAGACAAGAATGCTAATGAACTTAGAAGAGATCTGTATAGAGAATATGGGGTGCGACTGAATTATAGTCAAGCATACAGGGGTAGAGAAAGAGCGTTGAGGGAAATACATGGTCGTGCACAGGATTCATACATGGCGATTCCCTGGATTTGTGAAAGGCTCATTGAAACTGATCCAAACACAAGTGCTCGATGGGAAGGGTTGGATAGTAACAGATTTCAGAGGGTGTTCATTGCTTATGGATGCTCAATTAATGGATTTTTAGAAGGGTGTCGACATATACTTTATATAGACGGCTGTCATCTAAGTGGTCCTTACAGGGGGACATTGATTTCAGCTAATGCATATGATGCAGACAATGAACTATTTCCATTAGCATATGCTATAGTTAGTGGGGAGACATATGATGATTGGGCTTGGTTTCTCCAGAACATCAAAGACATCACAAGATCAGTGGAGACAACGATAGTTTCAGATCGGAATAATGCCATTATAGGTGCTGTGCGAACAATATTTGGTGGCGAGAGACATGCTTTTTGTTATAGGCATGTGAAAGAAAATTTTAGTGCACATTATTTAAAAATTAACCGAGGCAGGGGACGAGTTTCAGGTACTTCAAAGGACGTTGCATTGAAAATGCTGGATGGAATCGCCTATGCAAGGATTGAGGATGAATATGTTGCTGCAATGGGGAAACTTAGATCATTCTGTCCACAATTAGCTGATTGGGTTGACACTCAAGGAGATGTAGATCGGTGGGCTTTAAGCAAATTCCCGTTTAAGCGATGAGATAACATCACCACTAATGTTGCGGAGTCGTTTAATGCCTGGATTTTGAAGGAGAGGAAGCACAATGTGTCAGTTCTCATACATGAGCATATGGAGAAATTAGCCAAGAAGATGGTTGCAAGCAAAATGGCAATGGAAAATTGGACAAATGGCGTTGGGCCAAATATTGAGTCCAAGTTGCAAGAAAAAGTAGTAAGAGCGGAGAATATGCATACTGTATATTATGGAGATAACCGAGTTCAAGTTGATACTACATCTCCTACTGGAATAATTTGTGTCACTGTTGATCTCACAGCTCAGAAATGCACTTGTTTAGCATGGCAAATGAGCGGAGTACCTTGTGTTCATGCCTGTGCAGCGATAAAGCTACTTCATGGTAGTGTTTATGAATTTGTAGATGATTGCTATAAGCTGTCAGCCCAAGAGAAGATATATGCAAGTAGTATGAGGCCAATTGCGACACATGATTGTCCTCGTCCCGAAACTCTCACCGTTACGCAGATGATGACGGGAACATTTTTACAGCCACCAATCACTAAAAGACCCTCAGGGAGGCCAAAGAAAAGAAGGATTGAATCTCAATTTCAAAGTAAAAAACTTTACCACTGTGAAAGATGCCATGAGCCAGGCCACACTGTGAAGACTTGCCAGAACCCCAATCCAAGTTGAGCTTTGCTGGTAGCTTGCTGATATTTCGTTTTGTGAATGCTTGTGACAGCATTTTTTTTGTAAATGTCATAACCACACCTCAAGTTGTCCGTCATTATCCACACATGCAACACGTATGCTTTTTTGAATAGGTTGTAAATTTGGTGTAGTTATGTTGTACATATATATATCAAGTGGTAAATGACACCTGGTTGTAATCTGATATAACATCATTTCTGTATTTTTGATGTACTGGTGAATAGGTTGTAATGGACTTGTTATCAGACGCCATGCAGGTTGTCATTAGCAGTCTCAATTATGTTACTGATATAAAGTGACAATTTCTCCTACTTCCAGTGTTCAGTGATTTCTTAAGACATTCGAGCTGTGTTAAAGTCATAATATGATATGATTTGGTTAGAATTAGATCTCATGTGGAGGTTGTGGTATCCCCAGCGTCAGTTGTCAGGGGCAATGCGAAGGTTGTTAACCAATTCTGTTCGGGTTGTCAACAATCCCTGTTGAGGTTGTAAATGAATTGCTGGAATAAAAATCTGCTGTAATATGATTTGGTTCTTTTAAAGCTGTTAATGACTTTAAAATGCTCTCAATTTTTGCTATTAAGGTCGTTATATGTGCTCATAATATAATTAAGTTAACAGCTGTGTTATACCCCGAGTGAGTTGTTAACCAATTCTGTTCGGGTTGTCAACAATCCCTTTTGAGGTTGTGAACAACCCCTGTTGAGGTTGTAAACAGATGTGGCAGAGAGGACTCTGATATATGCCTATCATGTCACCGTGGTTACCATTTGTTTATCCAGTCTTATTCAGTCTGCATTTGTGGCCATGATGAAAACACATGAATGCCTTTACAAAAACTTGATAACCAGTAAAGGATATCAAAACACATTAACATATCTTAACATCCAGGATTCATACATGCTCAAAGAAAAGAATAAAATGTGAACTTGACGTTCAGATGTCACTATGCTGTCAAATAAATAAATGTAAATACAATATATGCTTGTCATTTATTTCTTCCTCTTGCTTTGGGGGTTTCCTCGCAGCAAAGACAGCACTTCATCGCCATGCAGGTTGTTCCGATGAGTCACGAGCCACCACAAGCATCCAACCTTCAAGTCATGGATTTCTTCAGGGGAGTACTTAGGCATTGTGTAGCCGTCATCACCATACTCAGTGCCGTCCCATGTTTGTAACCAGCTCAACACATGCACCCCACAAGAGTCCCTACAAAGGAAAAACAAGTACTTTAGTGAATGAACATTAGCTCCCAAAAGTTGAGACACAAGTACTTGTTGTGCTGAAAAATAACTCACGTGTCAGATTGCACATGAACTTTTGCCCATGTGACTTCCTCGTCAATCTTGTCCTCCTCCGCAAACAGTGATGGCTTCAGCACACGAAGCACTTGGCAGAAACAATCTCTCTGCAAAAAGGGACAAACAGAAGAAACAAGTTTGACAGTTGTGAATGACAAGTTATCAGGAAGCATTAACAACCTTCGCTGTAGCCAATGACAAGTAATCAGCAGGCATTAACAACCAGGACAGTTAAGCAGACAAGCAACCATAACGCATTAACAAGTTATAGAATGAATGTAAAGTTGTGCATACAATCCCTCTCGCCATGAATTGCTTAGGATCTATCTGTCCTCTCTTCTTCCCTTGCTTCCTTTGTGGTTTCTTCCCTGTTTTCATTGCTTCTTCTTCCTCTCTTTGTAATCTCAACATCGTCAAATTGTCCACCAACGAGTCAAGGGCATAGAAACGCATGGTTCTTACATCCATCACGTAACAGAACCAATGGTAATTGAAAAGGGTGGGGCCAAATATGAAGTCACAGTCTCCAATGTTATATCCTATGTGCTCCGGTAAGATTTCATGTTCATGTTTTTCCAGGCTCCACCTAAGAGGATTAGCGGCCATTGTTTGCATTAACTCGGGTGAAAAAATGTGCCTACTGACACGACCGTGGTTCTCTTTTTCATCTCCCACCAAGGTTCTCGCCACCATAGACATGAACTATATCACACATACAAACAGTTAGTCATGATCATAATGACATTCGCAGTTCTCTATCTATATAAACAACTGTCTTACCCTGTCGTTCATCCATTTCCTGTCTTGTAGGCAGCAAAGCTCAGCACGTGTCAAGAAGTACCCATACATCTCTACAATGTACCTGCAGCAAAAGGAACAATGAGCACAAGGGTTGTATGTGTAAAATTGTTGTCAATCAGTTGTCCCAATTACAATCAGTCCCAACACTTACTTGGCACCTTCATCTTGATCACATCTTCTCGTGCACATCTGGAATAATTCCTCTTTCTCGTCAGCTTTTCTCTTGCCACGGCCTTTTTTCACCTCCTCTAACCAGGGAGATTTGATTGCACGGCTTCTCACCCGTGTTGATCTTCTTACATCCATTTGCCCTTGTGCTTGCTGGTCCATTTCATCCTTTTCCTCCATTTCATCGCCTACACCCTTATCCTCTTCTGCTGCTGCATCACTAGACTTGTCTTGTGTTTTTTCTTCTCCATCATCCTCTGATCCAGAGTGACTCCCTTCTCCTTTCTCCTCAGGTTGAGATTGACTCTCTTCTTCACGCGAAGCACTTTTGCCCTCTTCTTTATCATCTCCTTCTGGTTCACTCTGTTGTTCCTCTTGTGACAGAATTGAATCTTTTGGGCTTCCTTTACCTTCTTCACCGGTTTCTTCATCTTCAGTTGCCTTCTCTTTGTCATCTTCGCTACTTACTGCTTCCACCACATCTTCCTTGTCAATCTCATCCGTCAACCTCAACTGCAGGGAAACCAACTCTTCTCCAATTGTCGACACCAACCCTTCAACCATGGTCATCAACCTTTCATACGTTCTCTTGATTTCCTGCAAAACAACAGTAATGAAAGTTATCATTACTCCAAATTCTACACAGCACCAAAATAAGCTTCACATGATTTACTTACAGGGTGGGTTAGCTTTATTCCTGTGTTGGATGCACTTGTTGAAGCCCCACCGACACTCGGAACGCCATGCAGTATGCCTCTGTCGCTATTCTTTTCTGATTTCACTCTTGCCTTCACTTTTTCCTCATCCCAATAAGTAATGGCATTTTCATTTTTTGCCGCCTTTTCTTTTCCGAGAGGAAAGTGTTGTAGGCAATAAATCTGCATGTGAAGTTAATGATAACTTAGATATACAACAACTCATAGATATACAACAACATCATCCAAACAGTGGCCACAGTGCATAACAGCACAAAGTGACAACAACAACTACACAGACTGCCCACCATACACAACAATACACAGGTGTCACAACATATCCACAGTTCACCGTACACACTGACGACATAGAGTAGTAAATAACAACATACACAGTGACCAATCACAACCTACACATAACCCTGTCACAACATACATTTGCGCCATTCACAACATGTACAGCATCCAGTGACAACCCATACTCAACAGAATGACAACACGAACAGACTGCAATTACAACCTATACATAACCAGGTGACAAACCAACACAGCCCAATGACAACCTGCACACAGGACAATAACAACCTCCACACCATCCAGTCACAACATATACATAACCAGTTCACAGCGTACATTTCCCAACTGACGACATAGAGTAGTAAATAACAACATACACAGTGTCCAATCACAACCTACACATAAGCCTGTCACAACATACATTTGCGCCATTCACAACATGTACAGCATCCAGTGACAACCCATACTCAACAGAATGACAACACGAACAGACTGCAATTACAACCTATACATAACCAGGTGACAAACCAACACATCCTAATGACAACCTGAACACAGGAAATAACAACCTCCACACCAGCCAGTCACAACATATCCATAACCAGTTCACAGCGTACATTTCTCCAACTGACGACATAGAGTAGTAAATAACAACATACACAGTGACCAATCACAACCTACACATAACCCTGTCACAACATACATTTGCGCCATTCACAACATGTACAGCATCCAGTGACAACCCATACTCAACAGAATGACAACACGAACAGACTGCAATTACAACCTATACATAACCAGGTGACAAACCAACACATCCAATGACAACCTGCACACAGGACAATAACAACCTCCACACCATCCAGTCACAACATATACATAACCAGTTCACAGCGTACATTTCTCCAACTGACGACATAGAGTAGTAAATAACAACATACACAGTGACCAATCACAACCTACACATAACCCTGTCACAACATACATTTGCGCCATTCACAACATGTACAGCATCCAGTGACAACCCATACTCAACAGAATGACAACAC